TGTGCCTTAAACTCACGTATAATGTTTGCTTCTGTACTACATTTGACACATCTGTTAAGGCAAGAGTTCAAGGATAACCACTTCAAAGGACAATGCTTTCATAGCAGTATTTACTTTTCCTTCTTAATTGTTATACTATCTAACTACTTTTGTCTGATATGACTGTGATAGGGCAAGATACTGTCATCATAACCTCTGTAGACCAGCTATAGTAGGAAGACTGACAAGGAGCCTTGCGTTCAAGGAAGTAAAGCCTGCACAGGATATTCTTAAATCAATTTATGCTGAAAATGTAGAAACTACTTGTGGCTTAGTAAAATCAAATACAAACCAATCATACAAACAGATGAAAAATCTTAGCAGAAAGAAACACCTCCTTCTTGTCTAACAATCTCCACTTTGATTCCAAAAGTCTTTATCAGGGGTCCTCAAACTTTTTAAACAGATGGCCAGATTACAGTCCCTCAAACTGTTGGAGGGCCGGATTATAATTTGAAAAAAGAAAAACATAAATGAATTCCTACACACACTGCACATATCTTATTTGTAGTGCAAAAACACCCACTTAAAAACAATTCAAGAATTAAAAGGAAGAACAATTTTAACCAATATAAACTTATTAGTATTTCAATGGGAAGTGTGGGCCTGTTTTTAGCTGATGAAATAGGATTGTTGTTGTTGTTGTTGTTGTTGTTGTGTGCTTTCAAGTTGTTTCAGACTTAGGTTGACCCTGAGCGAGGGCCAGGTAAATAACCTTGGAGGGCCGTATATAAATAAAAGCTCCCTGACTTGCAACTGCTCAAGGCTCAAGCTTGGTGCCAGAGTAGGAAGGCAAGCTTTTTGTCTGTAATGATGCCATCTAGATAGCTAAACCTTGTTAAGGACACTGATCCAGGAAACACCTAACTGTCCCTAGACCAGTGGTTCTCAATCTATGGGTCTCCGGGTGTTTTGGCCTACAACTTCCAGAAATGCCAGCCATTTTACTAGCTGTTAGGATTTCTGAGAGTTGAGAATCACTACCCTAGACTTTTACAACACAATTTGCTTTCCTTGAGACAAGAGAGTCAAGGAGCTTGACCTTGCTGGCTCCATCACTTAACCTTCAAAAGATCAAGCTGCTCACTTGAACTGTGTCAGGTACTGCATTGGCCTATTTTTCCTCACTGGTACAGACTGATCAGAACATTTCTCAGTGCTATCTGCACTCTACAAGAGCACGCCCTTTACATATACCGGGCAAATTTGAATATTCTCTATTTACTTGGTTCAAATATTTAGCCAGCCATTAGACAAAGGTGCATTTTGTATACAGTCTACTGCAAGAAAAGGCTGCAGGAAAGGTAAAACCTTTTTTCATGCAGTTCATTCTCTCTTGGAAAATTTCATTTAAATGAACTTACAAATGTCTTTGATAAACTTCAGAAAAAGAAAAAAGCTACCAGCATCTTATGATCATGACAGGTATCTGGGCCATGTGAAGCATACCCCAGTACCTCCAACCACTGGACTCAGAAACTGGACTGGAAACAGCCTGTCTTTGAGGTAACATTCTGGATGAACTGTACTAGATCAAAACCTTCCTGAATGGACCAGTTCAAGCCTCTGTCTTCTGCCTTGTGCACACACACACAAACCCTTGCAATTACCTAGTCCATTATACATTGTTTAGCTTATAAATATCAGTGTAATCAGTCCTGTGGCACACATCCTTTTGTTTATCATCATGCATTTTCTCTGTTTTTATTTTCTATTTGAGATGAGCAAAGTGTGGTGTGTTGGCTGCATGTGGCCTTAGATCTGACTTTTGTGGCTCCTGAAGCCCACTACATGGCTTTCAACTCTCCAAGATATTCTTCACATTTTTGTTGGGTTTTTTTTTTTTTTGCCAATTGAAGGTGTTTCTCATGTGAAATTCAAAAGAAGAGCCAACAGGATCACCCTCAGCCCTACACAGACCCATCCCGGGGGCGGGGATAGGGACGGAGATAGAAATGTGTATTTTCATTTGAGTACTTCTCAAAATGAAAACAAGAAATGTCACAACATCATTGGCAATCACCATTTTGGGATGGAGTGCTATTTCAGAGCAGGGGAGGGGGAAAGTGCATCCCAAGAGGTATATTGATCTCTTGTTCTTATGATGTTGCCTACCACTATTCTACAAGAACAAATGTCTAGTGGAGTCTACGTCCTTTCTTCATGAATACATATACAGAAGCTTCGGCCAGAGGGGATTTTTTTTTCTCCCACTATGCTTCCTTGAATGACATTATTAGAGTTGCATGTGGAAAATCTTCAGGATTCAAGTTGTAATGTCCCTTGAATCATGCATTTCATCAGCAGTGGAAGTGAGAGCGACCATCATACACAGCAGGATACAGCTACTCTTCCCTCAGGGGTATGGAACAGAGATATTTGCTGAGGCCCAGCCACACAAGTGGTTAACTGTACAAGGTGCTGGTTGCAATTAGTATCCTGCTGCCAGAGCAGCTGCTACTCAAAAAGCCTCTGCTAGAACTCTGTACGTTCCCTAAAGCCCTGCACATGCATGCTGTAGCCACTAAGTAGTAGGAAAATGGATCCAAGTACGAAAACCAGAAATGATGCATCCTTATAGTTGTAAGTGATCCAAGCAGATATTCTTTTGCAATAGCTAAGATGACTGACACTCCCTGGGTTTTGTTTTTTTTTAGAAAAAAAAGATGTTATGGTTAGATTCCAAATTTTTATTCTGTCAACAGAAAGACATGTGTACAAAAGATTTCTTCCATGCATGGAACTTCCCTTAAATTAAAAAAAAAAGGGCAAAAGGGGCGTATCAAAGAGAAACATAACATCTTGAGCAATTAAGTCAATTCTGAAGCAAAAAACATTCAGAGAGAGAAAAAACTCAAAACAGAGGTGCAGTTTTCAGGGACAACTTTGCAGTAGAATTATAGTATTGAAAAGAACATTACATTAATGTAGACTTGATAGAATGCAGTGAAAGGGCATATTATTATTTCACAACCATTGATATTCATTCTGATATTCATTCTAACAGGACAGGTACTGTACTTTCTTCTGATACAATAATCTTCAAAACTAAGCAACAGTGTAATGACTCCTACAATTTCAACATTGCACCAGCTCCATCTCAAAATCTTTCCTTTAACTGTTCAACTATTTTTGTGACACATGTTATTCCTGACCTCTTTAATCTACAAATGAATTGATGGATACAGAGCCAAGCCACATGCCATAGCGTTGCTTATTGATGGAAAGGTTTATTACTAGGAACTGAAGATCATGTTTGGGGAGGACTTACAGATGTCAACTATGAGAAGGCTAACCCACAGATGTCATGTCAACCTAAATTAAAATATAATGAATGAGAATCACAAGCCTCTAAAAATATGTAACTTACACAACTTTACTAACTTGCGAACAATGCAGACACTTTTTCATCAAGTATTTCCTAAGGTTTTGTTCCTGGATCTCCTGTGGAACCCAAATAAAACTTAAGAATCCATAGATTCTGTAGAACCCAAATAGAAATTAAGCATCTAAGTCCTATTATATACAATATGTATAGTAAAATGCTGTCCCTTATATAAAATGGCAAAATCAGTGTTTTTGGATTTTTAGAAATATTTTCAAGCAGTGGGTGGTTGACTCTATGGATGCAGAATACATAGATATGGAGGTCCAACAATATCATACCATGTTCCTGTAAACAACAACGTGTAGATATGAAGATGCTCCCTAGCTGATTTTGTGAATTAACCAAATTGAAAAGCTTTAACATTGAGAAGACATGGTCATTTGACCTATCTTCGTAAATATGTTCTTTTCTTAGCTAAACTAGTTGAGCTTTTGCTGGCCCAGAGATTGAACCATGATCAAAGACTGTCATTTCAAGATGTCCTGGGGACACAACATATCTCATGAAAACCTTTCATGTATACATATTTGTGAAAAAATATGATTTGTAACATAATGACATACATTTCCAAGATTTTTGTCATTTCTCATTATGTTCACATAGCACATCTACACACTCAGCAGACACACTAACTTGTCGCAACACAGTTTGGAAAGCTCTGGTTTACAGAATCATTTTGGTATAACCATGTGTCTTCATGGAGTATTTTCCATAACAGAAAAGCCAATACATAAACTTTGAGCATGTTCATATGCCACTGTCAACCATAGTTTAGCACAACGAGTATTAGCCTCTAGGAGACTTCTTCAACCCTTGGATTTGTGTGATTTTGGACTCAATTACCTGTTCTACCTCACCGCATACTAGAATTTACCAGAATTTGGTTTCATCATTCTTACTGGTGCATACTAACCAGCACTCTTGTTAGGTGTAACCAGGAACTATCCTTTAAAACAAACTCTGGTTAATTGCTAAGCAATCTAACTAAAAGTACTGAGGTGAGAAATGGGAGGGTTGCTAATAGTTTAACTGTCCAAAGTTTGTTATAAACCATGATCCCACAACTCAATACAAACAGACATTTACCAAGATGTTGTAGAATTGGAAAATACAAAAAAATTCACTAAAGCTCGATCTACTGGCAAAACAAAGTGAGATCAGTTCTAACATTTAACTAAAAAAGAAAATTACTATCACAAACAAGACAGAGAGGCAAAAATGAATGAATAGAAGACAAGGAACATGATCAATCTTTTGGTTGTTTTCATTGCTTTCTTTGTCAGTAATTACTAATCAAGTGTATCTAACAGTCTCAAATTGCCTATTTATGTGCCTAATTACTATGATTTTTCACACAGTCATCAGCAGTCAAAGGAAGCCAGAATGATAACATTTTCCCTGGGATTCTCCCACAACTCCTGACCTCGAAAGAAAGAATGCATTTCTAAACAGCATTGCCTCATTGATAAAAACTGGGAACTTCTATTTTGGTTCAAATGAAAACAAGTGCCTTTGAAGTTTGAATGGGAAGGGGACAACTGGAAATAAAGAGCAAATTACTTCCGAAACTCACCATTGTTTTGTCACTCTTACTTCGTGCAACTTCCTGCTGCAGCCGAGCCACAGACAGCTTCTCCCTACAGAAAAGAGAAAAGCATAAATAACAATTAGATTTTTTGATAGCTGGGAAAATGTATCATTTTATATATCTTTGGAGAATTCTTGCTCATTAGTGGAGCAATCCCTCTAGGCATTGTTTACTTTCCCTGTTATATTTTATAACATACATTTAATAACTTGTATGCAATATTTGCACTTCTAGCCAGAGAAGGTGATTTCTGGCCAGGAAATGTAAAAGAAAATCACACGCAAAAGTGCATACACACATGAAAAAGAGCAGGTAAGCATTAGTAAGCTGTCTATACAGACCCACCCAAATTGACAGTGCCTCGAGTTTGTAGGTGAAGTTAAACTATATGGATGGGTAAACATACGCATTCCTTTTGCCATCTCTCTACACATGCACAGAAAATCTAAAATCTTTTAGCATAATATAAATACCTACTACAATACCTTATGTAGAAATGTTGTAGAGAGTCAAATGAACATTAAGAAATTGTGACTTGTCATCATGTTTCTGCTCCTCTCTCATGAGAGTTCTCTTTATGAATACTTGTAAGTTACCTCAAAAACCACAACACCCAAGTACTGACATTAAGTTTATAAATAAGGAGAATTTCAAAGAGTGAAAAAGACTGGGAAATTACCAATTCCATTCTTTCATAGCCTGGAATACTTGTCATCTCAGAAAACTTAAGAAAGGTAATCAATCTGCCCAATTGACTCTTTCTGGCCAACTGTGTTTCTCTGTGATAGGCAAATACTGTGGCGTTTTTAAAAAATCCTTTTGAAATTCTGGAAGAATGATGCTTATAGAAACCACCATACATCTTTAAGAGATACCGCCAGTACCTACCATAATGTCTTCCAAGAAACAACCCCATGAGGAACTTCATAAAAAGCTTCAACAGTGCTGACAATAGCAACTCACTAGCAATTCTGCTCTCTGCCAAAAAGCCCCATTGAGAAGGGTTGGATCAAGTACAAGTGAGAAAACCGTGCCAGCAATGCTCTTTTGTGAATCAATCCGTTAGGAGGGGTAAGTGGGTTTTAAAAAAGCCAGTAGAGCAAGGAGTGGAAAAACCTCCCGGATAGAGATTTATGTGGATCCGCAGGATTCCATATGATTAATGGTCATTATGTTTGGAAAATTATGACTTCAGACACAAAACTAGTCTGACTCTAATAATAGGCAGGAACTAAGTTAATAAATTTTCTTTGTACATATTTATTACCCATTTTATCTATATCCATGGTGTGACTTGAAGAGCTATTTTAACAAAATGAGGGGAAAAGGATTCTTATCATGTAATCTAAACAGGAAGCTCTTAGTTTTATCCTTTCCTAAGAGGCAATATAGTCTCACTGTGATATCTGGGTATTTGAATAGTTAATTTCCCTGCTCTTACATTCATCCACTTTTGCATTTCCCACATTTTTATTTCCTTTTAATTTGTTGATAGGAACTCTGCATTAAAGCAAAGAATATGTAAATGTAGTTGTGTGTCTTCAGAATGTAATGTTTTTTACTATTTTGTTTTTAATATACAAACTATTTGATAATATGAACAATAGAAAAAGAAAACAAATTTCACAAAATTCTGCAGAAATTTGCGCAAAAGTCCTTTTACAGGGCAACAGGAGAGCAGTTTCTTTCTTTTGCTAATTAATGTTTGTGCCTTTCTGTAACATACACACAACGTGTTCTTCTAACTTAAACTACTTCGTGCTTTTTGGAAATAAGATTGGTTACTCACACTAAGTCATGGATATTTTAAAAAAATCAATTTACAAATCTGGTTGTTCACTAATGTGGATGTTGTGTTTAGATTTATGTTATTATAGAATTTTGTCTATGTGTACATTAATTTATTGATGTTAGGTTTAATTTACTCATGTTAGGCTTTAATTTGATGTTAGTTAATTTAATATTACTTTCATGTGTGGAATTTTTCTGGGATTTTATGTTACTATTGTGTTTTTTATGTAGGCACGGAATGTCTGTCATTGTTATGTCAGAATCTGCCCTGAGTCCCCTTGAGGAGATAGGGCAGAATACAAATAAAATGTTATATCATCATCATCATCATCATCATCATCACTATTATTATGGTTTGTTCCTTACATCCAAAAACAATTTATTTACAGATCAATTTTGTAAATAAAATAGTGAATCTACAAGTTCATTGTTGAAACATGTTTAAAGAGCTATCATCTATTATTTGTATTTGGCTTAGAATACTAACCTATACAGATTGCAAATATGAATGATTTGGTTTTAAGTGTGGGTAGGCTGTATCCTCTATAGATTTCTTGATTTTCTTTATTTTTATATCACCTTTCTCCTGATATAAGAACCCAAAGTTACATGAAAGCAGATCCAAATGAACTCAAGGTTTCTAACTACCAAGAAGACAAATAAGAGACTGATGTGTGACCTTACATTAGTCTTCTGCTTTATTATATTTTATGCCTGAGCAACTGAGAAACTAATGCCAAAACATTTCTTGAACTGTTTATGCAGAAAACAGCTGAGGGATGGGCGATGGTGGAAACAACATTAGATTATAGATGGAAAAAAACAATACAGGTCAGTACAATTCCTTTCCTTTATCTCGGCTGCCTGTAAACACTAGCCTTTAATTTATTTTATCCCTGGGAGAAGTGGAAGGAGTGATTAACTGTTCCTATTCTGTCTTTCATAGCAATGAAACATCCTTTGAGGTCCAGTGATATGATTTTATATTACGGCACAAGATTTTTTAATCCTTTTACGATTTTCACCAATGCTCGGAACATGCAACCAAGGAACATTTGAGAGCAATTTTATTTTTAATAATGTTTATCGAATGTTAGCAAGCAACAAAATGCAACATGAGTTAAGACAGTTTTTTCACTTTTTGTTTTGTAAATAAATGTATTGTTAGAACTGTAGTACATGCCATACATGTGAAATTAGATTAAAAGTACAAAAGAATAGTTGGAAAATGATTAAAAATACCCAGGTTAAGAGTACAACTCAGCCAGATGTCTCTCAGGATTAGCTGGTACAATTCTCATTCTAATTTTGAAAGATAACACAGTAGAAATAGCAATTTGATAATGGACATAAGGAAATGGAACTGCCAACAAGTAGTTAATGCATTCCACTTTTGATCCAGTGTGAAGCTCTCAGTAATCTCACACAATGTCCTTTCTCTTATTGCTTCATAAAAGAGACAGTGTCAAACATAATGTTTAATGTTCTCTGCTTGTACCTGACCGCAAGGGCTAAGGTGTTGCTCCACAGAGATTTTGCAAAATCTGCCCTCAAGAAACGCTGAAGGCAGAAGTCTGACAATGTAAACTAGTGCATGCCTTCCTTGACAGTATGCCAGTGAGTCGCAGGATTTCCTTCCCTTAAAACAGGCACTATGAGAGAAGAACCACAAACAGTAAACCAGATGAGCAGCTGAATTAGGCATCCTGCTTGAAGAGCCAGTCTCAAAGTCTACGTGTGTGTGTGTGTGTGTGTGTGTATCACACACGCACACACATTTATATCTCATGTAAGATGTAGTAAATATTTTGTGGATTGGGTTTAGCACCTTGGATATTTCCTGTCAAGTTTGGACTAAAATATACTGCCACATGGACACAGAAGCCACTATCTACCATAGTGTTTAAAGAACGGTGTGGACTTCAGAATGAAACCTTCAGAGCAACACTACTACGCAAATCATTTCCTTACTTGGTACAGTCCTGTGATATTTTTGAGGGTGTAAGAGGTAGATAAACGTCCCTTGTTTATTGTAAGTTCCCTCACTTCATTTGACACAATTGCCCAATTGTATTCTGTTTATCCCCTTGAATTCTATTGAGTAACCAAGTAGACTCCATTTATTTTTAAGGGGCTTATGTTTGAGCACAGCCTGGTACTGGTGGATGGCACCTTGTGTTTAAGGTTCAGTTTGGTGCCCTACGGGTTCAGTGTAGGAACTGAATACTATGAGTTTTGCTTCCTAATTAGTTGAGCTGAAGTTTATAATGCAAAGAATCATTAGACAGCAAGATGAAAAACCAGCCCTATATTTAGAGTACTTTAGCAATCTGTAATCATTATGAAGATAAAAGAAACTCAATAGATATCATTGTTAATGATTTTGCAAATGGTATAAGCTATTAATGCAAATCTTTTTGTGAGCCAAGATAATTCTCGGAAGCAGAGTATGGTTTTGTCAGGTAAATGTAAGAAAAAAACAATGTTGTCTCGTTTTTTAGCCATATATAATTTGTTTGAACTATTATTATATTTCTTTCCTTAGTACACTTAGATTAAAGAATATGTGTTTATATTTGACAAATATATCCTTAAAATGCATTTATTCAAAATTCAAACTCAATTTTATTCAAAATTCAGACTAACTATCTAACACCAATGATATGGAAATCACCCAGAACCTCAAACAACATGGCTATCTACTAGTCATGGGCCCAGTATCTGTATAATCCATTTGATTCCTGTTTTCATTTTGTTCTATCCTTTCAGATGGCATGGAACAGGAAGGCCCCTCCTGTAATGAAAATAAAATCGGGAGGCGGGAGTGGGTGCTGGCTCCAAGCCTGTTTTTCAGATCAATTGCCACATGCGTAGGCTCAAAGTACCCGGGCCGGCCAGGGCCTGCAGCCAAGCGCTGAGTAAGGTGCTCAGATGCAGGCCCTTGCAAGTCTGGAAAACTTTGGGCCTACATTTTCAGTTGTGGAGCAAGGCCACTGGTAGCAAACTTGATGGGTCTTCAGCCCCAGCCAGGGAGCCTTTCGAATCCCCGGATGAAGGTGAGGCTTACTGATAGTGCATGAGATGCAGACCCAAAATTAATAAGAACATCAGCCCTGGCCTTGTCCTACACAACTGCTGAATATGTGTGCCCTGTTAGGCACAAGTCTGCCCATGTGAAGCAGGTTATTATAGCACTGAATGAAACGTAGAATAATCACAGGATGTCTTAAACCTACATCTACTGATAGACTTTATAAG